CAACTTCAAACCAACTCCCACTTAAGCCACTGTTAAATTTCCACTTAAAAATCCCACTTGACCATTTACAAAAATTAGTTGAAAAAACCCAACTTCATTCAAACTAACATCTAATAAAGAAAAACCCACAAGATTAATAATGGACATCAATCATATTAACTTTTGCAAACACAAACACAACATATTTTACCATTTTTAACAAAAGAGTTTTGACTTTCAACTTACCTTGCCCTTCATGAAGGAAGAGAGGCGTAATAGCGACATAGGGGGCCTGTTGACCCTGATCATGAACAACCTCTTCACAATCACCGCATTGAACTTGTGTGAGATCCCAATCAACTTATTCACTAATGTTCTTTTCCAAAATCAAACCAGTCGAAAATGCCAGGACACGCAAAATAAGAGCTTAAATGAGATCCAGGACGTATCAATAAGCCAAGACTATAGCAAACTTCAAACAAGTCGACCTCAACAAGTAGATTTATCACCAAAACCAACACAAACTAATTTTAGTAAATGGCACATTTAATGAAATAACTAAAGCACAAAAAGTCGATGGTGTTGTGATTTGATAGTCGGGCCTCATCCTGAAACAAGTTAAGATGGAAATAGATACATCAGTAAAGTGCACCTTTATGTTGACGCAAATTTAGATCCCTAAAATCGATATATGAACATTGGTTGTAGATTGCAAAAATTGAATAATAATTGGAATACATTACAAATTATGGTTAATGTTCTACATACCTCATCTATGTAGTTAGGTTGACAACAACGGACTATGAATGTTGGATCTGAGTTTTACGATCGGTCGAGCTTTGGATTGCAATGCTCACGCCATTGCTAAAATTCGAAATAAAGCGCCTGAAAATTGATCAGAAACCTCGATCTTTTGCAAATTTCAGCTTGAATCTCTCGTCAGAATTTTCAAATATGCGGAGCTATGGATATTTTATCATCGAAATTCGATTTTTCTCCCAGTTGTCTATTCTCGCAGCTATGAGCTTGAGCTCGCGTTAATGTATCATATAAAATTACAATCATACCCTATTAGTTTTGGCGTGAACAATCTACCTACTCGTATCCTGTCCATCCAATCATAGTGATCTTTTGGTCACAATTTATTCTTACTTATTTCGTTTAGCACATTTCTCACCAGAGCGCGACCCTATATATATTTATCTTAGTTGTTTTGTTTATAGGAGTTTATTATTATTACCTTATTTCAATTAGGAGTCCTAATTGATATGTGATTTCTTGTGATTGTATACGTGATTTTTTTTGTGATTCGGCAGATAAGGAAGAGAAAGAAGCCTTGGACGAAAAAGAAATTTTGAGCAGCAATAATATTGGGCTTAGGGCATTAACTTGGAGACTTGGAGTTGGGATAATTTTAAAGTGAAGAAGCAGTGCACAGCGTGGCTATTTTTCATAGGGATACAAGAGTTTTATATTCCTTAGACTGCTTCAACGTGGATCAGACGCAAGAGAATTGAGCAGCAACAATTTCTTTTGTGGAGCACTGTGTGCTTTGGTTATTGAGCGGACAAACTTCTTTCGACTTTTACACAAAAGATTTATCGGGCTTCTCTTCTTTATTTTTGTTGATCTTTTGTTATATTCGAGAGATTATTTTTATATAGTTTGAACTCGCCATTTATTATTTTCGTATTTCACTAAACGTGTTAGTATTGTTTTGGAATTGTATGGAAAACATTGAAGTTTATTTGTTCTAGTGAATTTATGGCATGTGGCCTTAGTCTACAAGTGTATATTGACTTGTAGGCTAAATTTTGAATCTTTCGTATCTATTTATTTTTCGCTGCGTATTTTAATTTTGATATTCGTGTGAAAATCTAGATATTTACGTACCTAAAATTCTAACATGTTTGGTGCAGAACATTGCTGAAAGCAGCAACTCCATGGAACTGATGAAGAAGATTTGGAAATTCAGTCTTCCCATTAAGACAATGTGAAATACTTCTTGTGGATGAGCTGACACAACTTCTTGGGAACCAACAAACAGCTAGAGGGCAAAGGATTACAAGTTGAGGTAACCTGTTATTAGTATGGTGAGAAGGATGATGAAGACAAAGAAAGACCACAGTTTATTTCATTGTCCTAAAGCACTGAGATGCTGGAAACTGGTTGGACTACTCTGGAATAGGCAAGAAAAAGGAAATTAAGAGTGATGGCTGGAGATTTGTACCTCTCGGAAAGCATCAAACATCAATGACATAATTCGTCTTTCCACCTACCTGTTAAGGTGGCTGTGGAAGACTAAGAATTCATGGAAATTCAATAAAGAGTGGTGGGAGGAGGAACGAATGGAAGATGGAGCTCTCAAGGAATGGCGACCTATGAAACTCAGCCGCCCATTCCAATGCAAATGAAGAAAGACTGATCCCAATCATGTAATGAAATTTTCCACGGGGGTAGTGCAGAGATCCATTTCTGTCAGTGCTCCACTCATTCTCGAAAGTAAGAAGATGTTAAAGGAAGCAGCCCGGTATAACCAGCTATAGGTGCATGAATGGTTAACTTCTACGGATCCCTTGAACAGTTGTGAACAAGTTCAAGTAACACCAATATGATAGATGATTCATTCCCTTGCTCTGGGCTGGAACCATTTCAGCTCTCCCTCTGCGACAATATTCTAGCTGGCAGACTCAAAAAGAAAAATTTGAAGATCATCTTTATTTCATGTTGTTGATCCATTGCTTCTCCTGTACTTTTCTCTAGTGTCTTTAGTGTTTGTTGTGTTGGTGGCTTCTATGTCTCTTCGTTGTTGTTGTTTTTTTTTTCTCTATTTGTTGGCTTCGAGGGAATAGAATCTCCATATCCTTAATTGCTCCTTCTTCGTTTCTGGAGTAATTGCCCCTGTTGATTACCCGTATGTACTCTTTTTATGAGTTTTAGTTTAATTAATGTTATCTTCGTTTATGGTTTGAAAAGAAAAAAAAAACAAATAATAATAATAATAGTAATAATAATAATGACAATAATAATAAATGTTGAAGTTCATCCTGTCAATGAATCATGCAAGATAAAAAATTTTAAACTCATCAGCAGATGTATATTCTGGCCTATAATCAGCTTTAATTTTAATTTAATGGATAATATAGCTTTAACCAGAAAAGGAAAGAAGAAAAAAAGAAAAAAATGTAACGGGAAAAGGACATAATACAAGCATGTACAAGTCCTTCTCCTACCTCTATCCTCCCGTCTCGTTCACCAACCCATATCCATTGACTTTGAAATTATCACAAGAAAAAAAAAAAAAGAGGCCTGAAAAGACAGTATTGCCACTGCATGAAAACATGGTAGACCTTCAGAGCTGTAATGCCAAATCCGGCAAACCAAACTGTAAGCTGGAGGAGCTTGGCGAGGCAGCTGAAATCCCGACATTCAAATCTGGTGGACCCAACATAATATTACTATTACTATTAGTTAATCCTTGATGTGCTGGCCAAGTCGATTTTCGAAAACTCCATGTATCATCCTCTACTCCTTGCAGATTCAACTTGTCACCTTGCGTAATTTGATATCCGGCTGATGAAATATTCAAATTTCCCCACAGTTGTTTACCTTCATCCGGTAAACGGAATGGGCCCCCCATCCCGACTGTGGATGTATTGTACCCAAACATCCCACCCAAACCGTTCCTCTGAGGCTGAGGCTGATGATAATAAACGGGCTTCTGTTGGACTGGGAATGTGGTTTTCATGTAGGCGGAATTCAAGGGTTTGATGGAGGAGTTACAGTCATCTTTCAGCTTCTCGGACAACAGCAGCTGGGGCCCACTTTCGGATACCCAGCCCAGGCTTTGTGCCCCCCCCGGGAAGGCAGTCTCCATTTTTCTTGCCGCGACTTGCTGAGCAACAGGGCCAAGATTCGCAGCGAATCTTGCTAGGCTTTGTGCATATGATAGAGGATCGTGAGGACCAACCTGAGTGTTCTATAAAGTATTAGTTGAAAAACATAACATGATATAGAGATTAAGACTGTATAATTAGCTACTGAAACATAATACAAAGTTATTAGGTAGTATCTGTCCAATTTCAAAACTGCACACCCAGTGAGGGAAACTTGTAATGAAAATGAAATTTTGTCAAACCTCAAGAGACTTTTGTTGGAAATTACTCAAGTAACTGTAATGGAGGTTCAACAAATCAACTAAATAAGTCAAATCAAAACAAAGAATCATTGATCTGTTGCTACTTAAGAGAAGCCGAAACAAAGCAGAGCTCCGGCTGTGATAGCAAGACTAACTGATATCTACAACAGTGAGGAAAGAAAGAAAGAAAGAAAGAGAGATAAAAAGGCCATACCGGGATCAGCCGTTTCACATCTCCAATGGGATTATAGTAAGCAGAAGAATTTTCGGCAGAAGAGAGAGCATGAAATTGCCCGTATGTCTCACGCCTGTTCTCATCCACGGTAAACTGTTTTTTCCCACATTTCATGTCAGCCCTTAAAATAGATGCTGCAAATTACAAGAATTGTAGTATCAGGCAATCCCCAACTCTTCTGTTATTTACCAAATAAATAAATTAATAAATAAAAGATTATAAATAACAAATAAATTATAAAATTCTTCAAACCTGGAAATTCATCATTCCAATCAGCCAACCATTCCGCATAGTTATTGCCATTTCTCGACCGGTAAGAAGGCACAAACATATCACTGTTACGGAATCTATTAACTACGGGTGCCTTTCTCAGATTGTAAGAGCTGTCTTCACCTCTACGAAGAACTGCATCTCCTGATGACATCTTGGGACTCACACGACCCGCCTGTGAGAATGTTTCCAGAAGTTTCTTCTGGTTCTTGATGCTCGGGGGCCTGCCCCTCCGGACCACCATAGGCTGGGGCTCACCATTATCGCCTTCGTGCCTCAAATTTCCAAAGTCCCTCTTGGCAATTTCTTCTATAGATCGTGCCTAATGTAACCCATTATTACAACACAAAAGTTACGTTGGTATATAATATAACAAGAGGAAAAAAAAAGGGAAAAGGAACAAGCCAAACCTGCCGATAGTAGACGGTATCTTCCGCATTATATAGCATGGCATTTGAAACAATTAAAAATACATCAGCCTGAATCACAATGAAACTGATATAAATCAAACAACGATCACATGACAAAAAATTAGAATTTTCGTGCATAAACTGAACTGTAACCAACACTGATAAGGAATCACAGGCAGAATAGAACTTCATTAGGGCATGCATAATTATTAATCACAACGTAACACAATGAAAACAGCATCCTGAGATGTTACAGTAAAGAATCAGGTCAATATCATTTTTTCTTCATGTTGCACTTTCCAGTAACTCGATTTCAGAGATCCCGCAAGCTGTACTAAGGATTTGGCATCACTTGAGAAGAAATTTCCAGTAAAATTCAGTGATCCCTCATAAAACATACCAGTACATAGTTATCTGTATACTTCAATGCATAAGAGAAATACGTAATATTAACCAAATGCATGCCATACAGATTTCTTCAGGTTCTTACAGCAGTATAATAGTTCCAAATACAACAAACCATGAACTACCAAAACAGAACTCTGAACAGAGATTTGAAACATAGCAACTGTTCATTTTCCAAAGAACGAGTTGTGTAATTCGAAACCGACCTCTAACTGTTCCAAATTCTTGTAAGCCCCACTGTCCAGCTTCTTCCTCACTGTTCCAAAATCCATAGGTTGCTCTATCACCTCATAATAATCAGGCAGCTGCAATAAACAAATATAAACTCCAGATCAGCTGCAAATAATATAAATTTTTTAAGTGCAAATCCAGCCCTGAATTATGACATCACCTCATCGATATCCACCGGCTCTGAAAAGACACCATAAGTGTCCTTCCTGCATTAACACACATGCAGTGACACCAAAAAAAACAAACACCTGAGAAACTGATATAAAATGGGATATAAATATCTAACAGAGCTACAAAAAAAGGCTGTACGAGGGAAAAAAAAAAGAACTAAAAGAAAAAAGAGACACATACTTTTGAAGCCTGTCAAGAATGTAAACCAACAACATTCTGTCTGGCAAAGAGGTTGTGGGGCCAGACTCCAATGGCGACCCTGTCCACGAAAATTTAATGAAATGACCAAAAATCAGATAGAACCACAAACCCAATTCACAAAATTTAAAATTTTCAACTGAAACATTTAATAATTTAATTAAAAAAAAGGAATATTTTTTGTCTTCCTTTTCTTTTTATATTAAAAAAAAACAAAATAAAAGGGTGGTGATAATAACCATGTACAAGAGTGTCCGTCGCTTTCAGAGGTTTCTTCTCCTGCAAAGATCAATACATCCTTTATTATTAAAAAAAAAAAAACACTAATTGTTTGCAGAAATCAATGAAAAGACAAATCTGAACCTTTTCCAAGGAAAAATGGTTTAAGAAAGATAAATATATTAAATATTTTACTGAAAGGGAGGATGGTCTATCTTCTACATAAATAAATAAATAAATAAAGCGCGACTCACAGTCAAAGATAAATAGAAAATACTATTAAATTAAATTATCAACAGTAATACAGAGAAAGAACGCTCATGCATGTCATTGTTGTTGTATGCATGTACATGTTATGTTGTTTGTATAATGAGAATGCAAATTATGGAAGCACAGAATCAAGCAAAAAAAATAAATCACAGATATCAATATTAGAGAGGAAACAAATAATATAAGTAGTCATATCCATATTCATAATTATTCCCACGGACCCTAGTTTGACTGAGTCAATCACAACACATACCACCCACCAGTTGAGATCTTCACAAGTCAGAGCACACACACACACACAAACAAAAAAAAAAAAAATAAAAAAATAGTAGTACTAATAATTATTTTTCGGCGCGAAATCCCAAAATCCCCTTCAAATATCAACCACCTAAAGTGAAACCCCCTAAGAAAATATTTCAGTATTCCCAAAATAGAAAAAAAAAAAGTTGCCGGAATTTCATATAAACAGCACACATTCTCGATTTTCCTGCATTTTTTTTTTAAAAAAATTCGGGTTCAATTTATAACTGTAAAGTATAAAGCCGACCTGAATGGCAGTAGCACCGTCAGATCCGCGATCAACCGCATTGATGTTTCGCCTTTTGGCACACCCCTTCTGATCCTCAACAGAATCGTTATCTCCAGAATGTCGCTTGTTCTTCTGATTGATCTTTTTACTTTCTCCGGATTCCGGCAAGCGACCAACGAACTTGACCTTCTTCTCCTTCCTCTCGTCATCGTCGTCGCCGACGAATTCCGGTGGAGAAGAATTTAAATGATTAGGGTTCCGGCGGTTAGATCGGCAGTTGGTGGCGAGGGTGGAATCGCGATTAACGTTTCTCTGAGGGGCAGAGAGAGAAAGTGAATTCTTGGGCGGGCGGCCTTTCTTCTTCCTCCGCTTCATCTCCTTTGCTGATGATACCTTACCCATTTTGCTTGCTTTGGAGGGGAACCTTTTTTTTATTGTTTTTGTTTTTGTTTTTGTTTCTATTTTCTTTTCGCCCCCCACGTTTTCTATTTTGTTTTCGACAATTTTGCTGTATGGGTTTAAATATTTCGTGGGATTAAGAACTCACGTGTGAAGATTCACACGTGAGAGATGATACCGATGGACCATTACTACTCTACACGACGTCGTTTTGCCAATTTTGAAATATAATTTTATTACAATAATATTTTTTTTACACATAAAATTTGCCAATTTTGGAATATAATTTTATTACAATAATATTTTTTTACACAAAGTTAATTACGATGGCGTTTAGCAATTTAAGAAAATTATTTTGTAATAATATTTTATACTCGCATAAAATTAATTATTATCGTAATCGTATTCAAAATTCAGATTTTGATAATGGTATAAAAGGACAATTTCAATAACTGACTACCTACTCTGTAACGTTTGGGATAAGAATGCATTCATTAGGGTCGTTCGACAATTCATACTTGTTGGTGAAAGTTATAATTTATGGTCCGATTTGGCAGAGTCGAAAGGTTTTACCTACGCAATTACCTATTGTCATTCAATACACCAGAATGGTGGTCAAACTTCATAAATAAATGGTCGCACATTATTTTACAGCTCAAACACAAGTGCATGACTTAAGTAAGGTTTTTTTTTTTTGAAACGATAGAAATAACTATTAAATAAAAGCGAGCAGAGCTCGAATACAGTCACAGTCCAAAAAGAAAAATAACATGAGAGGAACATCAACAAAGATGCCCTAGAGCCTCAACGAAAACAACTAAAATAACAGAGAAAAGGAAAGAGCAAATCACCCCACTGCTACAAAGCCTAGAAAATAATTTGCTCTTGCAAAAAAGACTAATACTAAACACCAAAACAAAGGAAACTAAGAGAACTAAGAAAAAGGAGAATTAGAGAATAGAGGAGAACTCCAGCCAATCCGAGTGAGCTGCCTTAACCACAACCCAGGGTGGAGGAAGAGATCCTTGAAAGATCCACTGGTTTCTGGTTTTCCAGAGCCACCATAACAAATAAGTTGACAACTGGATTCTATGCTCATCAATTGTGGAATGAGATGCAGAGCAAACAAATTGCCACCAAGTTCTGAAGGATTCGGTGTACTGAGAGAGGCCCTGCCAAGATACTGGTGCTAAGTCCCAAGTTCTGCTGGCTCTGGGGCAGTTCAATAGCAAATGTTCAATAGTTTCAGGACTCTCACCACAACACCTGCAAATTACATCAATGTTCAAACCTTTCTTCTTAAGATTTGTCAGAGCATGCAGAGAGCCTGTGAGGCATTTCCACAAGAAAATTCTGATCTTCATCTGCACCTTCAGTGACCAAGATCTTTTAAGAGTCAATTTCCAAGAATTTACCCTGTTGCTGCTTTCTGGAAGATCCAGTTGAAGAATTTTCTATTTCACCAAGAAGGAATAAGTAGAAGCCACTGAAAACTGGCCCTTAGGTTCAAGGCCCCAGTAAATTCTGTCAGGTCTGCCAGGCCTCAAAGTCTTTATCTTTAAAATAGCAGCACTATCTTCTTCATTAAAAACCTGATGAATTAGCCATTCATTCCAACCCAGTCCAGAAGGTAACATCAAATCTTTCACAAAAATGAGATGACCCTTGCAATCTCCAGCAGATCAGGTTTTTCTTTAGAAAGATTGGGGACCCAATTACAATCAGCAATTCTGGTAGTACTACCATCTCTAATCTCAGTTTTAAGCCATTTAGAAAACAAAGGAAGGACATCCATCCAACAGTTCCAGAGCCAAGAGCCAGTATGAGATTTAGAGGCTTGAAAAATAGAAGAGTGAGGAAAATACCTCTCTTTCAGGACCCTACTAACAAGCAAATCAGGTTGAGATATAATCCTCCATAGCTGCTTACAAATCAAAGCTTCATTAAACAGTTTAAAGTCCAAAAAACCCAAACCTCCATCACTTTTAGGAATTGAAATTTTGGCCCAACTTACCCAGTGAATGCCTTTTGCTTCTTCCGAACTTGATTTCCACCAAAATTGAGCACATAAGCTGGCTAATGAGGAGCAAATGGAGGCAGGTATTTTAAAGCAACACATAGTAAAAATAGGAATTGCTTGCTGAACAGATTTCAGAAGGACAGCCTTGCCAGCTGCAGAGAGTAATTTAGCCTTCCAGTTTTGCAACTTGTTTTTGAAGGATTCCACAAGATAGGCAAAAATCTCTTTTTTGGACTTACCAATGCCTAGGGGTAGTCCCAAATACCTGGTGGATCTATGAGATTGAATGCCTTGCAGAGCTGCACAGATACTACTTTGAAGAAATTCAGGAGTATTTCTGCTGAAAAAGATTGCAGATTTAACCAGATTCACAGATTGGCCAGTGAACAGTCTATATCTATTCAACAGATCAAGAAGAATCCCAGCCTGGTCAACCCCTGCTTTACAGAAAAAGATTGAGTCATCTGCAAACAACAGATGTGATATAGATGGCCCAGACTGTGATAATTTCAACCCCTTTAGATAACCAGAGTTAGTAGCATCAATTATAAGGGCAGACAGTAATTCTGAGACTATGATGAACAAATAAGGGGAGAGTGGGTCCCCATGTCTTATTCCTCTGGAAGGAGAGACCAAGCCACAGATATCCCCATTAACTTTAAAAGAAACAGAGGTGGTAGATATGCAAGCCATGATAAGTTTAACAAAATCTACATGAAATCCCATTTGAATCATGATCTTCTTAATACTGACCCACTCCAATCTGTCAAAAGCTTTCATGATGTCAAGTTTCAAAGCCATAAAGAAGTTTTTACCAGAGGCATGCCTGTTAAGAAAGTGAAAGGCTTCCTGGGCTATGATAACATTATCAAGCAGTTGTCTGCCCTGAATAAATGCAGATTGAAAACCACTAATGCACCCATCAAGACAAGTCTTTAGCCTCTGAGCAAGAACTTTAGAGATAACTTTATAAACCACAGTGCAAAGGCTAATAGGTCTGAACTTACAGATGGTATCAGGAGCAGCACATTTAGGGATTAAAGAGAGGATTGTATGGTTCCAATATTGAAGCATCTGACCAGACTGGCAGAAACTCAATATGGCAGAGATAAAGTCAGATTTGATTAAGTTCCAAAAGTGCTGATAGAAAAGAGCATTCATACCATCTTCCCTAGGTGCTTTGTTAGGATGAAGACTGAAAAGAGCTGATTTAATTTCTTCCTCCTCCACAGGGATCAGAAGCCCTTGGTTCATTTCAGGAGAGATAGAGGGTTTGATAAGTGGCAATAAAGAGTCCCCTCCCTAAGATCCCTCAATTGAGAAGAGAGAGCTGTAAAAGTCAGCAATATGGCTCTAGATGTCTTTCTGGCATGTAAGTTCTTCACCTCTGGAGTTGATAAGCCTGGTAATGGCATTCATTCTTCTTCTTTGCAAAGTGTAGGCATGGAAGAATTTTGAATTACTATCCCCATTTTTCAGCCAGTGTAGCCTTGAGGTCTGCTGCCAATACATTGCTTCATAGTGGTGAGCTTTGTCCAGATCTGTCCTTGTGGTGCTCCACTCATCCCACTTGGATGTAGAGTTGTCTTCTCTTAGATCCTCCAACTTCTTGGTAAGAATGGTTATTTGATGCTGATTTTGAGTTTGGAATTGGGAGCTCCACCTCAACAAAGCCACTCTTGTCTGCTTAATTTTTTCCTTGAGTTGAAAAAAGGGGGTACCAGAGACTGGTATCTTCCAAGCTTGAGTCACCACTTCATTTAAACCAGCTTGACCAATCCACCTTGCATCAAATTGGAATCTTCTAGCTCTCCTATCTTTTTTGATGCCAGGATCCAGCAATAGTAAGGAATGATCAGAGGAGCTTGTGACCAGGTTCAGAGTTTTGGCATTAGGGAACTTCTGCGTCCACTCAATAGAACCGAAGGCTCTGTCCAATTTTTCTTCAACTACATTATCAGCTCCTCGATTATTGCACCAGGTAAATTGATAGCCTTCCATCTTGATGTCTTCCATTTCCATGGCATTGATGAAGGCTTTGAACCCCAGGAAGCTGCTTTCAGAACGAGAATTTCCTTCCTTTTTCTCAGAGTTAGAACATAAATCATTCCAGTCTCCTGCAATCAACCAATGAGATCCCCATTTCCTACTTTCTGATTCAAAAAATTCCCATTGAGAAGCCCTTTGTATCCTACAAGTACTCAGGTATACAAAAACTCCCCATTGGGGTTCACAAGAAGGTAATTGAAAATGAACAGCAATAAAAAAGGAGGAACTAACAAGATTAATAATATTTACAGAATTGTTCCACAAAAGCAAAAGACCTCCCCTTAAGCCTTTAGGATCAACTACAGAAAATCTATCCTCAAAACCTAATCTCCTGACAACAGTCTTAACAAAAGCAAATGATTTCTTGGTTTCAGAAAAAAAAGTGAAAATTGGGTGATGAGACCTAATAGTCTCTCTGATTTGGGAAACTGTAGAGGGCCCACCCAGCCCTCTACAGTTCCACACCGCAGCTAACATTGAGAACTCGGGTGCCACTCTAGGCTGGCCACCCCCACCTCATCAGTACTTGCTTTAGCTTTCTTGTAATCAGGGTTCTTAGAGCTTTGACCTTCTTCCTCATCATGTTCTTCTTGATGGATCTCTCTAATCCTCTTTCCAGTAAGATGAGTTTCTATGGGAGAGGGATTTAAAGTTTGCCTCAGAAGTCTGCCATCTTTTGAGCTTGATCTCTTCCATGTTCTGACCTGGCCTTTTCCCTTGTCCAGAATTGTGGTTGCTGAGGCTAAGACTATAGGAAGGTCAGAGGGTTCAATCTCCATAGGATTGTTGTGAAGTTGCTCTCCCAATGCTGCTGGTTTTGAAATTCCAGAAGATTTATGGATATCTCCTGGGGAGCTTGAGGAAGAACCATTGGCAGAGGATTTGAATGCAGGGTTGGAATCCACTGGATGGATGATTAATTGGTTCCTCTGAT